TGATTGACTTTATTAATTGTAGATTTTGTACTTTTATTAAGCGGGAAAATAAATAAAATAGGACAAATTTTGAAATTTTTGTTGACCAAAAAATTACAAAGTACATATGATTAAATTCAAAAGAATCTGACCTTTGAGTGTAATTGTACTCTTATGTACAATTTTATGTACGAATTTTTGCCCTTGTCACGAGTCAAATTCGCTTAATGTTTGTGATAGTCTAAAAGAATAGTTTAAACATATAGTTATTTAATTCATAAGTTATTGCAGGAGGCGGTTGATTATGTAACACATCATTCCAGTGAACATAAGAAAGATTTGCTAAAGGGAAATAGTTAGCCTATTTTATCCTAATTATTTTTAAAGTAATTTAACTATTATAAATCATTTTTATTCTTTTATTAAATGTCTAATAAAATCATTTTCTCGATTTATATCCTCGTTACCGCGTGTAGAACCCCAAAAATTTATGAAAATTTTCAAGGATCCTTAACAACATTAGGATATATTTAATTATTTCATTTAATAATTCAAAAAATCTTTTATAGGCACTTGAATATTCTTAAAGGCAAACAAATATTAAAGGCAAACAAATTTTTAAAGGCAATAGCTATCTCAGAGTTAACAAAGGGGATAGGGATGAATAGGTAAAGAAGTCGTATTAAGGGAATTAATATTAAGACAGGAAGGATAGAAAATCTTTTAAAGATTTTTAATAATCAGGAGACACGTGAATGTAATATAGTCGTGAATATATTATTGAGTGGCAAAAGAATGGATAGAGGGAAGAGAGTGAAGAGAGAGGAGAGATTTAGTAGTGAATGGTGGAAATTTAAGACTATCTTTATTTATTTTTAAATTTATAAGACATTAAAAAATAAATATTTGCACTTTATATTTAATGGAAAATTCATATGATTAGTCCACATGTCATTAAATATTTTGAAATTTACTTTTTATTTATTTTGTCAATCGGCGGGATAAAAAAATTCTTTTAATTGACTCGTTTAATATGATTAGCTTTAAATATTTTGAAATGTTTTATTGACTAATAATGTGAATTAGTATTAATAAAAAGTGCAAATATTTATTTTAAATGCCGGCTATATTTCAAAATAAATAGGTAAAGAAGTCGTATAGAAAGGTTATTTAATGGGAAAAAATTTTGATAAATATATCTTTTATTTTTATTTTTAATAACCAGTTGTTTTTTTCTAAATTATTTTCAAATAAAATTCTAGAAAACGTAAGAGCTTTTACCCCAATAATTAATAATTCTTCATTACTTAAAGACATTGTCTAGGACGTGTTGAAATACTATATTTTTAATATTAAAATTAAGATGATTAAATTTATTATTGTTTCTCACCTTGTTTATTTATTTTCCTTATTGAATATTAAATGTGATGGGGAAAAAGTTAGTATTGTAGTAAAAATCAAAGACGATTGGAAAGATAAAAGAGAATTTATTTATTTAAAAAATGTTGAATTAGAAGAGCGTTTTGTATTGGAAAAAATTGAAAAGAGCAATAATCGATATGATACTAGCTATAATTATAATATTGAGGGATTTTTGCGTCGAATTGATGTAAACCATGAAAAAAATATTTTTGACGTTGAAATGAATTATGGTTCAGAATATGCTAAAGAATTAAAAACGAAAGTTTTGATTAATATTGCCAAAAATAAAATTCTTCAAGATATTCAAACTGGATTAGAGAAACAGGTATTTTTGCTTGATTAAATAGACGTAAAGTCTAAAAATCATAAAACGAATAAATTAGTTACTTTTTACTAATTTTAATCTCATTTAATGCAGGCTTAGTTTAGCTTTGAAAATATTGTACTACTTTTCTTTGTGTTAATTATTCATATTCCCAAAGAATTTAGAAAAAAATAAAAGTTATTGCTTGACCAAATAACCAGAAAATGGAAAAGTAGTTAATAATTGAGACTCAAATAAGGGAGGTTATATACAAAAAGTAGTCAACTATTAAGAGACTAGCATTAATATTATTTTATTCATAAAAGGTGCTCAGATTTACTGAATTTATTAAGAAAGAGAAGAAATATTATGAAACTTCTATAATAGACAAGACTTTAAAAAATACAAAAATAATTAAAAAAGAATTATTAAAAGAAAATATAGAAAATTACAAGGACAAACTTTTGTCAAGTTATTGGACTGAAATTAATTTGATTGGATATAAAAAAGAATTGTTAGGAAAACAAAAAGTTAACTATCCGAATGAAGAATTAAAAAGTAGAATTATTTACTTCGGAAGTGAAATAAGTATAAAGTTTTCTTTATTTTTTATCTGCTAATAAATATGCAAAAAAATATACTTGTTATGTTTTAATATTATAGGAGGAATAATTGAAGGAAATAAACGAAACTGTTTCAATTGTAGATTTACAAATACCAAACAATGGTATAGATACCTTAAAGAACATTATTTGTGCGAAGCATGTCACAAGTATAAAATATATAATGGAAAAATGAAACCTGAAGGATGTTTTTGTCAAACTAACATGGTTTAAATTTATTTGAATAATTATTGATAAAATTTTAAATAAATTTATGAACAATGCTTTATAAAAGTATATGATTAGTTTTAAATGTTTCGAACATATCTCTATGAAATTATTAGGAATCTTAAATATGTATATGGACTTCAATATTTTCTAAATATATACAAGAACATTAATTTTCCCACTTGTTAGAAATAGAAGCTTAGAGATAAAAAATATGTTAGTTACAATCAACTCTGGACAAAAGCATTTATTCTAAAATTATGTAGAAATATAGCTTAAAGGATTTTATCTGAGATTAATCTCAAACATATTTTTATAAATATTTTAGCGAATCACAAATGATCGAAAATGTTTCACTTGCGGAGCAGCAAAAACATCACAATGGTACCGTCATTCAAAACCTAAAAAACATAAATGTAAAAGCTGTTACAATAAACAACAAAAAATGACAAATGTTATAAAAAAGCAGACAGAACAGGAATCGAATAAATATTAATTAAATTATTATGATTGGTTAACTTTAATTTTCTGAGTTATTCGGACAATAAAACTATGTAAATTATAACATATGTAATTTCAGTGTAAAACAAAATTCTTTAATTGTTACCAAATAAATATTAGCTAGATTTATTTTCATTCTTGTATTTATTTTATTTTACGCTAAATTATACAGATTTTTATGCTAAATTATACGGATTTTAATATTAAAATTCTGAGGGCAGACATCAAATTATCTTCTTTTTCTTCCGAATTTTTTTAAAATTTTTCTGATTTTTCAATCAGCACTCTTTAGAAAACATTGAAAATTCCTTTTTTCTTTCAATCTCCTTCATTTTCCCAAAATAAAAATACACTAAAAAAATTTTCAGGAAAAATTATAATATTTTTTTATAACAAAGTCCATCAAATAAATCTACTTTATTACACATTTAAAAAATTAACTAATTTTTTATTTTTCTATTATTTCAAAAAAGTTTCCCACAGGAATTATTACTATAAGCCACATTAATCTCTTTTCAGTGATCTAAAGTCAAGTTTACAATAAAATTTCCTTCCTATTAATTTTTATGTAAACAATTCCCAGATAGTAAATAATATTATTAATTTTACAAACCTCTAATCTCACTTCTATAAATAAAAGCTAAGTCAATGGGAAAGCTGGGCTTAAAAAAAGCTGAATCTTTGCATCCTAATCTTATTTATATCCTTCCATTCATTAATACTTTCATCATTGGGTTGTTTCTCAGATATTAATTCATTTTTTAATTATTTTTATGTTATTTATTTTTAATTTTTTCGGGTTCAAAATTTTTTTATTATTAATTCCAATCTCAACTAATTCAATGTTTTTTCTTCCTTATGAGGAAAGATCCTCACATTCTACAAAAAACAATAATACAATCAAAACTCCTGCGGGAGCCATTAACGAATTTAAGAAAGATCCTGAGGGATTCCATTATATTGGTATGCTCTCGACAGAAAACGTTCCTACATGCACAATTTTTCGGGGAACTCTGCAATTGAGTTTGTACGCTGGGCCAAGAAATTCAAAGATATAATCGAATGTAATGGTAAGGGGATGAAACAGACAAAATTGTCCGTCTCAAATTATGCTTAGACGGGAAGGCAAGAAAAATATTTGGCAATCCAGGAGAATTGGGGTTTCTTCGAAAAAAAACATGCTGATTACGAATCTGAGCTCATATTTTGAATAAGTCGAATCCCGGACCCGAAACAAATTTCGAACCCTGAACACGAATTTCGCCTATACAAATGATAGCTCATTCGAAAGATAAATTAAAACAAAAAAATATAATTCTTTATTTTACATCATTTTTATTTTTGCATATCAATCCTTATTGACAGAACATATGCTGCTTCAGTGAAAAGTAGTGTTGGACAAGACCTGTTAATTTTTGCCTGTAGCGACGCAAATAGAGATGAATAAGTGTAATTAACCCTCAACTGGAAAAAATTAACAGATCGTGTTAAACCTCAAAAAATCCTCAGCTATTTCTATTAGGGTTGGTCGGGATCGGGGTTTTTTAAAATTGGGACGACTCCGGTCCCAATTACGTGATCAGGTTTGGTCAAAATCGGGATTTGGAATGATAAACTCAATCCAAAATCGGGATTAAAAAATCGGGATCGGGATTCGAACAAACCGGGATAATTTTCGAATAATTTCCCAAACCCGCTCAACTCTAATTTCTAATAGGATGAACATTAATTCGATACCCTTTTGTACTTTAATTTTTCACTAAAGCTTAATAAAATGTCTTTTACAATCAACTTTTCTATCAAAATTTTTATCCAATTTTTTAAATTAAAAATTTTTTTATTAGAAAATATTCAAGAGGTATTCAAAATCAAATCGATTTCTATTTCTTGACCGGATATGTTTGATTGGATGAGTATGACAGTTTCGGAAGTATACATGTTGAATGCCATTATTTCCTTTAATTTTATTCTATTTCAATTAAATACAATTTACCAGGAATATGAAGTAATAGATAAGGGCAATTATCTCTTGCTTTGGCATTTCTAGTGCATGCATAGCGGATTCCATAGCCTACATGTCTATTTTTTGAGACCTGAATTTTCAGATTAATTTCAAAAACAATATTTTCAAAAATTACTTGATGCCGACGACGAAGGTCATCAAACTCGCTCATTGACCGTGTTGAGGTTAAATAATTCCTCGTTATTCCACAACGGGTGAAAAAGTCGTTTTTGTTAATGTCCTTTACAGAAGGCATTCCTTCTAAGCAAAGTTCAGGGCCTGTTGAAGTAATGAAAATAATACAAATGTATTTATAACAGAAAAATAACAGGAGACCCCACAATGAGTTAAGCTATTTAAGCCTGGGAAATCTTCGGATATCCGGTCCCTGAACTGATATTCTCACCAGAATTTGCTGATAACTCCTCGAAATAGCGAGGAGTGGATAACATTAATTTTCCCCAGAGCTTATACATATGTATTCAACGTCGCAATTTGGTCTAAACCAGAGATAATGCAGTATATATCCATTGCATAACAATAATGTACTCCTAAGGCTATGCAGGAAGTGGCGTGTTTGATATTTAGCTGAATAACGTTCAGCTTCCAAAAAATAACTCCCAAAACAACCCAATATCGTTTAGAATAATAAATTGAAACCTATATAAATGAAATAATAAGAAAATAAATATCTTTAAAAATCTTATCAGATATCAATCCCTTCATGACTAAATAACTTAATTCTAATGTGCCTTTGCATTAGATGAAGGAGAAATAACTAGCCCAATTAAGCTTAGATCTGGAACATGATCCCTTTTTTGAATGAAGTAAAATTTAGACATACCCATTTTTAACAATATTATCCATCTTCATTTCCTTAAGCTGCTTCAGCTGCCCAATTCTAATCAATTCCTTGGCCATTGCTGCTTTTTCAGCAATAATTGCTTGACTAATTAGTGCCATATTCTCGTTATTTTGCTGGAAAATTTGTTGCATCTGGGCCAAATGTAATAGTAAAAGTGAATTTGCAATTTGAACTGACATTTGAACTGGGCTGTTGTTTGGGGACGTGGTTGGTTCAGAAATAGTCATGTTTAAATTAGATATGTTGAAAAGTTCAGAATTATTAAGAGAAATATTTAAGATTGAGAGAATATGAAGGAGAGATGGTGCTGCTATTAGTACTTTCAATTTCAGAAATCATTGTCAAATTTAATGATTTATAAATTTCCCTGAAAATTATAAAATTGCAAAATATATAAAATTATTTTTAAGAATATTTAAAAATTAGTTCAAAAAGGCTATCAACACCAAAACCATTTCTGTTTTTATTTTTTAAGCCTATGCTGTGCATTTGCTAATGTAAGGATGATTCACCTAGCAGCATTTAAAACGCTTAGGCGGGGGATAAACGATCTAAAAAGGAAAAAGAGAAAGCATTAGTCGACGCCCCGGTAGCTCAACGGTAGAGCTCCTGCATATAGTGAGCGAAAGCCTAGCAACAACTAGCAGGTGGTCGCAGGTTCGAATCCTGCCCGGTGGCTAAACTTTTGCAAACTCTTTCTCTAATGATATTTAGTGTGTAGAAGGTTTAAGCATTACTTAGAGGGTTTTAGACTGCCATAAACTAGTCTTTGTGAATTTCAATATTAACTATTGGAGATCGGACATGGAGTGTCATAGAGAATCGAAAAGATTGACAAATTATAAATTTTCTAGAGTTATAAATTTACAAATTATCTAAAATTATTTTTAAGAGCATTTAAATAGAAGTGTACAAAATCAGGATAGCTCCAATAGGCATTTGTATATGCTGATTTATTTTTGTAAGCCGATGCAATGCATTAGCTAGTGATTGGATTAGAAATTCTAACTATATCAACCTCGATATTTGAGATTCTTGTACGAGAACTCATCTCGGTATTTTATAATAAGAACTCGATACTCGAAATCCGGCCTGTTTTTGTACCCGAAACCCGATACCCGAAAAGAAAATTTTCCAACCCGAAACCCGTGACCCGAAATTGGTTAAAACCCGAAATTTCTACCCGAAAACTTAGCCTTACCCGATTTTTTAAAACTTTCTTTATTATAACTTTCTTTATTATATTGATCGGTGGTTAAATATGTAGGTAAGGAGACTGGTTCGATATTTTCATAGGATGGGTTCGATTCCAGGGCTGTTTTTCTTTTTAAAAATAAATGTTTTTAAACTTTGATTTTTATTTTATATTTTTAAATTTAGTTTTTTAAATATTTTAAGCTTGAAAAAGCATTAAAAATTTTAATTTATTCATGAATTTTGCAGAATTTTCGCCTGCGGCGCATAAAATTAAGAGTTTTGGCTTAATAACCAACTAAACTTCAATAAAAAATTTTTTGCCTGCGGTTTTGCCAATTTAATTTTTCTCAAAATTTTCGTCTCCGGCGATGAAAACGTGAGAACATTGGAGGCTTTAAGGGGGATAAAGCGGAGAGATATTAGCATATAGTGGGATTTTACCGGGATATCCCTCTTCATCCCCAAATCCCACAATGTCTCTTTAATCTATTCAAATTTGCCTCTCTCTATATCACCCATAATCCTATTACATATGCAACATAGCTTGTCTCCATACAATTTTGTTCACCAATACCGAACACCCGAAAATAACCGATTTTTCTCCAAACCCGAAACCCGTGACCCGAAATGAAAACGCTCCAACTCGATACCCGAAACCCGTACCCGAAGATTTTTTGTACCAGCGGCAACCCTGGTTTATACGCATATCACCAACACAAAAAAGTTCAGTAATAAATCACACTGAGGTCACACTGTAACTAACAATATCAAAATTAAATTATATATTCTTATATTTATAACGTAAATATTTGTGGACTCCATTATTTGTTATTTTCTTTGCATTTGCCCAGTATTTTTAAAAGTTAGGTAGCTTAATTAGGTAGCTTTGCGTAGACGTTTTATGCAACATGAATCGGGACATGCCCGAGTAGGCGCGGGCCAAGTAGGCGCAAGGGCAAATTTCTTAATTTTTATCAAAATTTTTTTGTTAATCTTCAACTAATTTTATTAATTAGTTGGCTGAATAATCAAGCAACTTTATGTGGACACTGGATCGGCGATACTGAAAATCGGCGATACTGAATCCTACTTATACGTATAACACCAATGGGGGTTATATGATTGTGAGGCAAAATTTTTGAAACGAGTCTCAAACTCTAATCGGCGAACCTATCATATATTAAAATGATGTTTAGTTGGTATCCCCAACTTCCAAAAAATTAAGCGAATCGTTGTGTTGGTAATTAATTATTATTTCACCACTTATATTAATGAATTTAAATTGAAAAATATTTATGTTGTATATAATATCAAATAAGAATTATAAACACGTTCTTAGTATATCAGGCAGCCTATGAATTCAGTCATAATACCGGGATATCTATCAGAAGAGTGCCGGAAAAGATTTTAAAAAGCGAAAGACATATCTAACAAGTTTTAGGATAAAAATCGATTGAGTAAAATTTTTAAGATTTTGTGGATAAAATACTCTAATTGACTCTAATTACTCTAATTGAATGACTCCTCTATTTGAATGACCCTTCTAATTGAATGACCCTTTTTTTGAGGCTATTGAAAAATAAATTGCCCCGCTAGTAGTTAGTCCCCGAGAAGTCGTCAGGAGCAGCGGGGTATAGACTGGGTATGCTTTAATTTATGTACAGAATAGAGTAACATAAAAGTAATAGAAGATAGAGAGTAAGTATGACTAGTACATATACTAGTCATTATACAAGTCTTGTTTTTGGCTACCAAAGTTATACCTTTAGTCGTAGCTTTTGTGATAAAGCAAAGTTTGTTTGTCAAAGCTTTCTGTTGTTTGTGGACATAAACCCAAAATGCGTCTCTTAACTCAGAGTTGAGAGCTAGCTGAATAAACTTCAGCTTCCAAAAAATAACATTATGATAAGAAGAGAGGAGCATCCGAGATAAATATAACGAATATTTAAAAACAGAATAATAAAATAATAGATATTATGTATATTATGTAAGAGGCTTCGATGTCTGCTTTTAACAAAGAATAACAAGATAAGACAGTAACTAACAAAATATGCTTTATCTACAAGAATGAATACAATAGTAACTAGTGGGCGGAATTTTGAAAAAAACGGGAAATGTAAATTAACCGGCGGGACCCGGACCGGGAAAACCGTGATTTCCCGATCCCGCTTCATCCCAGCATCTTCAAAAAAAGTCGAGAAAAAGGACGACAATAGAATTTCACTTCGACATTAAGACTAAGACACGCATGATTAAAGCCTCAGCCTTTAACACACTTCAATTTACTTGCATATGCATTTATTATGAAAGAGATTATTACCTTTTAAGAGATCATTACAGCTGAATAATGTTCAGCTTCCAAAAAATAAAAATGTTTAATGCGGCGCTGCGTTTAATTCAATAAATTGAAACTAATAAAATTTAAATAATAATATTAAAGTCAATATTATGTAACGTAACTGACAAAGTCTTTTAATTGTATACATACAATCAGCCAGCTTTGATTGGCTATTAGGGATCGGTCTGGATCTGGATCCAGTCTGGATTTTTCCTAGATCCAAAGTCCAGATCCAGGAATTTTTTGATCCCCCTGGATTTTTTCTGGATCTCTATTAGCTATAAGTTTTAATTTATAAAATTTTAGCCTGTGGTGCTAAGAAGGTGGAAATTTGTTTCTTGACAGTAGGAGAATTCAAACTATCTCATTAATGTCAATCTATGTGCCGTAGCTTATCTTTTTCCTTGTAGAAAAAGGGATCATAGATCAAAATCAGCGATCCAGAACCTGAGGATTCTGTGAGGCCATAAGCCAATTTTCTTTTTTTTCAGAAACGGAGGCGAAAATTTTGGAGAAACCATAGAGTAATATTTCTGACTGTATTAACAGCCATACAAAAATAAGTAGTATTAACGTATATGGTAAAACAGATAATATTTAAAAGAGATACTATTTTAAGGAAATAATTTTTAATAATTCATATTGTGTACAAATAAAGTAAGACCTTAATGCTGTTAATCGAAGAAAGACCGTTAACGGTTTAGTAAAAAGCTTTTGTACTTAGTTGATCCCACTTATATATTTAGCTACACACATGGATAAAGGAATTAAAATACCGTATTTCCTAAAATAGTACTCCCGGGAGTACTATTTTTCAACCTTCCTCCAAAGGGGAGTATTATTTAAGGGGGGAGTACTAATTCAGGGGGGAGTACTATTTTTCAACCTTCCTCTAAGTTTATCATTGGCAAATTTATTTAAAATTTCTAAATGTTTAAATCAATATTTAATTCTATTGAAAAATCGCTCTCATATATTTTATCTTCTTCAACATCAATTTCTTCTATTAAATTTAAATTTTCAATTGCATTTTCGTTTCGGCGTTGTCGTAACAAAGTGATTCCATTGCTAATAGCTCCCTCCGGCTATAATTTTTAAACGTTGGAATTAAATATTATAAAATGCTAACCTTAAAAACATGAATGTGTTCGTCTAGTTTACCATTTTCATCAGTTGTCATTCCACATGAAACAAATGATTTTATTATTAAATCTTTGGAAAGTGAATCCCAGGCTGAACTAATCCATTCAAGATATGTTTCAATTGCTGGAGCTTTCAGATTACCAGAAGAAGTTGTCGGCTTTTGGCCATGTATCATCCAGTTTGTATGTTGCTCACGAATTGAATTTTTGAAGGGATGATTCCACGAGATGTCAGGTACCTTAATTTGTATTTTGTAAGTTTTTATTGATAAAATTCTTACTTGTATATACTTTGTTGTACCTCCTGGAACAACTGCTGTGTGAATTGAAAGTCGCTTTAATGTTTGTTTGGTTTCTCCACTAATATGCGCCCGGAAACTATCCCAAATCAAGAGTCGACTTCCAAATAAAAAATTTCCAAAAACCTTAAAAATTACAAATGAAAATATATTTATATATATATATATAAAACCTCCTCCAGGTATTTTGATATCAGTTCATTGTCCATCCAATTTTTTCCGCACCAAACAAGTTTCAATTTATTTTTAAAAAGTTTTTCAATTTCTGGTATAGGCCTTTTACGGGGAAGAAGAACGAAAGGAGGAAGTTTGAAGCCATCTGATCTAGCTGTCAGCATGACTGTAACATGGGTTTTTTCGTGCCCAGTGCTTTTTACAGTAACGGTCTTCGAACCTTTTTCTGCAACACATAATCCACCAACCGGGTCTAATGAAATTGAAGTTTCGTCGGCAGCATAAACGTGTGTGAAACTAAATATGTGTGAATAAATTTCATAAATTAATAGGAAACTAACTTGTTTTTTTTCCAAAGCTTTTGAACATACAAAATAAAATTTACAATAATTTCTGCAAACTCTTCTGGTGTCTTTTGAGCAACCGATGTAGGTCTTCTCATTGAAAAATTGTGTCGCTTTAAAAAGTAATCGAGCCAACCATTACTAGCCTAAATAATTCAGTAAATTTAAAAAAAGAATTTATTATTACCTTAAAATTTTCAAGTCCTGGATAACTAATACTGATTTTTTGTGCCTCTAAAACGATCATGTTTCTGGTCACTCTTAATTTTTTAGATCTAAGTTCGTTAATCCAACTTTTTAAGGCATTGTCAAAATCTGAATCTGCTAATTTTCTACCACCTCCAATCGATCTTTTCCTGGTTGATGGGTTTTTCCTAAAATTAAGTGGGTATAGTTTAAAATCCGTCCCCCAACCCCTCACATACATGCTTTTCAAAGAAGATTCTTGCTTTTTCCAATTTCTTATTGTAACTCTATCAATCTTGAAATGCCTACTAGCTTCATGAATAGATGTATTACGAGCAAAATCCAAAATATCAATTTTTTCAGTTATTGTATAAGCTCGTTTTTTTGCCTTTTTCACTTGTTCTTTCACATCAACTTCGTTATTTCCTTCTTCACTATCTTCAATGTCATCAACGTTGATGAAACAGTCTGAACATATAACATTTGCTCCGTAACCTTCTTCACCACAAGAAACTGAGCATAATTCTATAGCGTGACAAGGTTTTTCGCAGATCTTACAACTGTGTCCACCAGAAGTGGGTTTATTGCAAGAACAACACATTAAAATATTCTTTTCAGCCATTTTAATACTATTAAAATAAACAAAACTAAAATAAACAAAACTAAAATAAACAAAATGGAAATAAAAAATAAATTAAACGGTACAAAAATAAAGTAACAACAAACAAATAGAATAAATAATTCAAAGAATAAATTTTATTCTCTTTTACAATTTTTAAAAATATAGGGGAGTACTATTTTAGGGGGGAGTATTATTTTAGGGGGAGTACTAATTCAGGGGGGAGTACTATTTTTCAACCCTCCTCCAAAGGGGAGTATTATTTAAGGGGGGAGTACTAATTCAGGGAGGAGTACTATTTTAGGAAATACGGTATATTAAGTGGTATTGGATATTTGTAGGGATATCGGGGGATTTTTGGGATTAACAGAATTAGGTCCATTAATTTCATGATCGATAGTCGTACCGACCCGAGTATATGTTTATTAGCATTTTATTATAGCATGATGGTGTAAACAAAAGATCGAGGTGGGTCTGGACCAAGGCAGGGGTTTTTCCTGCACCCAGAGTCCAGGTCTAGGTATTTTTTTCCTTCCTGGGGTTTTCTTGGGCCTGGGTTTCTTCCTGGACTACAGACTCAGGATCCAGACCAGGTTAATAAAACAAACTCCAGTGTCCAGGAACAGGTCCAGGCTTTTCAAAAATCTCGATCTCCAGTGTAAACCGAGATTCTTGTATATTTTTGAGCCAAAACGGAAGGGTCGATTTATATTTTTCGATAAATATCGAACAAAAGACAAAACAAAACGTTTTTACTAACACTAAGATAAAAGCAGAATAATATATAATATTTCAAGTTAAATCAAATAATAGTGAATAATCATAAACACAAACAAAGCCTGGGTGCACCGAAGTATCATTCGAAATTTTTTGTAAGTTGGTAAAACCAACTAAAAAATGTCAATGTTGTGTATTTCCTTAGTGTAAAAGGAAGAAGTCTTAACAAGACGGTGAGTTAGTTATTCGAATGACATTCTGTTAGATTTTACAGTCAGATAGCAATACTTATTTTCTAGCGACATAGCTTACTCCTATTGCATAACTTTTATTTAATTTTTTCTGACTCTTCCGAATCCGGCCTCCAAGTTCTTAATCGAACTTCAAGTGCATTGTCAAGTAGGAATAAAAAATAACTAATCAAAGTGGGAATTTAATAAAGGAGAAAATTCTACATAATGATAATAATTTAATTTTAATTCGTTAAATGTTATTAATTGTAGTAGGTTGATCAGTAGTTCGGCTTGCGGGACATAGTTCATTTTTTGGGAGTTGGATATTCCAACTAAAATTGGGATTTAGGAGCATATTCTTCACGCTCCCAACTCCCATTGATTAATCGACAACAAAGGTTACTTAAAGACTACCTCGCCGACGCTCCATAGGTTTACATGGAACATTTTGAACCTACGGAAAAAAGAATCTCCGGAAAAAAGAGTGGTGCCGTTCGACTCAGCTCGTCGAGACGAATTGGTATGGGTCTTATATCAATAAGTTCCACAGGTATACTATATCCTTTGGTTTTTTAATATTTTTAAATTTTTTTTAAATTTTTTCAAAAATTAATATCTGCAAAAGTCGGAACTGCAAATGTCTGATCTGCAAAAGTCGTCTGCAAATGTCGGGTCTGCAAATGTAATATCTGCAAGTGTCGTATGACCGTATGTAAGAATAGTATCTAATATAATACAGCCTATAATATTTCAAAGAATCTAACAAATTTATCGCAAAGCAGCAATCAATAGAACAAGCGAGACTATATGACGGCTAAGACAACAGATAACACTAAACAAACGATAGAATATCTCCCGAATACTAAAAGGCCTAACACATGTTCCACAATAATTTCACCGCTCTCTCTATCTTCCTGTTTTCCTTTTATGAACATACGGGTTTACCTTTGTAGAATAAGTTCGGCACTCGTTCTCTAGTCTTCATTAAAGTACAATTCAAAAATGTTGAAAATATAAGCACGGTAAACTCCAACTTAATACCTGGTTCATTAGCTGAATAAGGTTCAGCTTCCAAAAAATAACATGTAACATATCGTTTCACCTCCATCTGTGTGTTTGATTGAGGAGAATTAATAAAAACAAATTAATAAAATTTAATATTATTTAAAACTCGGTTTGATATACTGTATATGCTCAAAAAATTACCCTCCCAACCAATTAGCACTCTAGCCAAGTGATAAAACAATAATTATACCTAAAGCACTGTTTAATTGACTGATAATATTCAGTCATCCAAAAATAATAAGTGGCTATATCATCTCGAAGGTAATATTACGATTATTTCTTTGATTTTAATAAAAGATTAATGTATAATTAAATATTAAGTTTCTAAATATTAATATGGTAGTTAAATGGTTTTGTTAGTGAGCTCAGCCACGTGGGGGCTAAAAAAGTAAACCATCTTTGAATTTAAGTGGATCCTGATTGGAGCTTTTCCATAAAAACATAGTAGCATTTCTCTATCAAAAACATTTAAACCTCCATTGTGTATTATTTAAAAAAGATTATTTGATCGTTTGATTAGGGATCTGATTTTAAAAATCGAACGTCGGGCTCAAATCTAGAAAATTAGATTCTGTACGAAAGTACGATTTTCATGATTCCAAACACTTTTAACGACTCGTTTCTCAAGATATTGGTCCGAGATGATCGAGTTATAATTTTGTTGTATATTATGTGAGTTAGTTAGGCACTCGAGGTGCGACTCGAAAACGTGAATCTCAGTTTAATTGACTGCTCACGTGCAGTTATCCAAAAATTTAGACAACACCTCCTACCCAAGTACAAATCCTGATACCTTCAATAATCCGTTTTAATAAAATTTTAATATTCAATTTAATATTAAACAAAATTGATTTTTAAGATAGGTGGATCGGGGAAATTCTCAGATAAAGGGCTTTGTCCATAACAGTCTGGGCTGAGGTATAGTTGCTAGTCTCTCATCTCATTTATCTACCATTAGTCAAGTTACTCTGCCTAAATTGTTCAGTTTTACCCTGATCGATGTTCGTATCAAAATTCGACTATAACTTGTCTGCAAAGTTACGGGTGTCAACAAGGACGACTAAATCCAACTTGTTATCAGAGGTGAATCGAAGATGACGAAGTTGCAGGAAATCGGAACTGCGGAAATTGCTCAAAGTAGAAAATTGTAATTCTGATTCAACTCTGCTTGATATTAATAAAAAACGTAAGAAATATCCTTAATTTTTTTCATCCTCACTTTTAGGTGTGAGTGGTCGATTGGACGATTAATCTTAATTTTAACAAGTCCAGTTATTGGTTCAAATGTTAGTAAAAATTGAGGTATTTATAAAACTATCTCCTTACAATACTCTCTAAAGGCTATTTGAAAACCACAAATTTAATTTTCTAAATTAGCTTTGAACAATGTCAAGCTTCCAAAAAATAAAAGAAAAAGAGGAATCAAACACACAAATATTGTCAGAAATTTTTCTTAAATTATTCAAATCAAAATTTAAAATTTAATATTGAGTAGGTAAAGTGAAGGGGTTAGATAAATCCTATGCGTATAAGAAGATTTCATCCCATCATAAATCCCCCGTAAGCAGGATCTCACCTAAGTCTGAATCCAATGCCACATTTAATTTGTGGTACACTTGACCGTATATTCAAAAGCAATACGGCCCTCTTTTGCTATGATATCTATAACTAAGTGATTCATTGAAGCGAAGAAAAATTCAAACAATTCTGGAATCGAAATATTTTCAGAAATTTGTGTAAGGATATTCACCTAGTAGCATTTGAATCCTCAGGGGGGGGGGGTTAACGAGGGAGGTTAACGAAACATTAGTCGATGCCCCGGTAGCTCATTTGTAGAGGGAGGTCGCAAGTTCAAATCCTGCCCGGTGACTAAATTTGAGCAAAACTCTTTCTTTTGTTGATCTATCTTATCAGAATCTATGCGATATTTTTTCCACACTTATGCTACAAATTTGCGCCTTTAACCTCAACAGACGTGCAGCATTCATTTTCTGTTTAAA